ACAAATTGTTACTGTGTTATTAAAAAAAGAAGGACTTCAGTATTCATTACCTTAACCCATTCTGGTTTGGTTAAATGCTGTCGACCTTCCTCTCATCTAGTTTGAAATAAACCAATCCTTTTACAAACGGCAGTACTTTATGGAAGAAAATTTAAAATGTGATCCCGTCCTACCATATTTATACTGCTGACTGGCCTACACATCCCATACCATTATTATCACCGTATGGCTCCGCATGTCTTCTAACCTGAATTCAAGCAACCTCCAAGTCAAGCAATCGAACTTACTATCCGTTATAATCCTACAACCTTAAATACAATTCTTCATCCTGAGGCCATGACGCCTTAAAAGATGACTTCTTAGCCCTTTAATCCTTCATATTGAGCGTTAAAGTCGGTTTCTCTTAACCTATCCGGGTGTTATGCTTCTCCCGATCAAAAGTCCTCGGGCATATTATCAAAGCTTATCCGTCACCAACCTGATGGTCTGATATATTTAGTTCGTATTAAGTGCCACCGTTGTCCTGGTTTTTTAATAACCTCCGTATATCTATCATTCTTATGCTGGGAGAATAGAAAAATAAACATTTGTAATAGTATTAATACAATCTATAAATATTGGCCTGTGGCAAGATTTTTTTTAAGGCCTCTCGAAACCACCAAATTAACAGTGTACGCAAAATTGTTTGTACTCGTGGTCTTTTCTCTCCGGGAGATTAAAAATGCGATTATATTGATTATTGGCCTTGTGGTTCCGTTTGGCAACGATCACCGCTAGTGTTTTCGCCACTGGTTAGTGGATAGGAAAATGGTTTGACCTTTTGTCGCCTAATGTCCTTTTTTTATTCTATATCTCCAGTTTTATTTTAACTGTTTCTTGAACTTGACAAAACGTCGCGAACGTTTTAGGCGTTAAAGGGATTTCCATCCGTTTTGGTCCACTTTGCAATTATAATGTGATAAGAGTGTGCAAAGGAGTCCGAGGGGGGAGAAATGTGAGTGTCCGAGGAGCCGAGGTCTCTGCCCCTTCGGCTCATTGTTTCCTTTCTGACGGGGATCCCAGTCCACGGACTGGGTTCGATAATTCAAAATTCCTCAAGCACCGAAAGCTTTCGAACCTTACGAATCTTCAGATATGACGAAATCAAGACAAATCTGTTAGAAGTGGGTGAAAAGTTGGGGGCGATTATTCCGAGCCAAATTTGACAAAAACAAAACAGACTATACACGGATTTTGGGCACATCCTTCAAGTTTGCGATAAATCAGTAAACTAACATAGCGAAACATAGCACGATGTGATCAACGCTGATGTTAAAGTAAAAAAAAGACATTATGGATTTATTATGAGACAATTTTTTCCAAGTTTGCTATAAATCAGTAAACTAACATAGCAAAACATAGCACGATGTGATCAACGCTGATGTTAAAGTTAAAAAAAAGACATTATGGATTTATTATGAGACAATTTTTTCCAAGTTTGTTATAAATCAGTAAACTAACATAACAAAACATAACACGATGTGATCAACGCTGATGTTAAAGTAAACAAAAGACATTATGGATTTATTATGAGACAATTTTTTACAAGTTTGCTATAAATCAGTAAACTAACATAGCAAAACATAGCACGATGTGATCAACGCTGATGTTAAAGTAAAAAAAAAGACATTATGAGACAATTTTGTCCAAGTTTGCTATAAATCAGTAAACTAACATAACAAAACATAGCACGATGTGATCAACGCTGATGTTAAAGTTAAAAAAGTTATTATGAGGCAATTTTACGAAACATTTTTACCCACCGCACTCTGTGTGCTAGTATGATGTATGAGTCGTAAATATGTATGAGTAATCGTTATTTTAAGGATCTATGAAAAAAACTTTACATGCGAATGATTAGATGTGCAAGGTTGCTTTTGAAGTATGTTAGAAAATGTGTTTCCTTCGTTCTTTTCCACTGTTCGGTCTTTATCGCGATTAGATCGGCTGGCTGTAAGCGGCCGCCCCGCTATCACATAATCATAAGTAGTTTTCTTATCTTTAAGATTGCCGTTGGAGAAATCTTTTCTTTTTTCTAATTGCCAGAAACTCAATCCAACATGGGATTGGAGTAGCAATTGTTCCGGACGCCTTATCTCTGATATAATCTCTCGTATTTTCCCTATTTCGCCGCCTTTATTACGCAGCCAGCGTTTTTCTTCCCGCAAAAAAGCGGTGCAATCCAAGCCGGCTCGATGTGAAAAACGGGGTGCGGTCAGAATAAACCGTCTTGTTAATGGACGAATGTGAAACAACCATGAAGCTAATTACATCAAATGTTAATTTTTGTTATAACAATCAGTAAATAAAGATGATTGTAACGTAATAAGGTATACAAAAATATTAAAACACAAATAATCACATGGAACAGCGTGAGAGGTAAGGCGTAAAGAATTTTCTGGGTGCCTCAGGGTACAGAGGACGAGACGGTAACAAAGGTGTCAGGGATAGGGCCGTAGCACCTCCAAGACAAAACCCTTCTGTAAAAGTCCGAACTGCCATAAAAAGGATACATTCCCATATGGATAATGGAACAGTTGACAGGGAAAGGACTTAGTTAAGAAAGTCTTGCCTACTCTTATTTCAGACCTGCTGCATCAAGTCCATGGCTTCCTAATTGATTCCTAATATGAAACGAGTATTGCGAATTATAATTTTGCAAATATAGACCGAATTATAATACCAAAAAGCATGGGATATAATTAACGACTGCCGTCTCTGTTTGGTACACTCGTCCCACGGTTTTTCATGTGTAAACTGTCTTGATTAAGCTCTTACCAGCATCTGAGGGAAGAATACTTGCAGTTCAGGATTGTATGAGTTTCCTGGGATGAACATGACTAAGAACAAACTGATCGACAAGCCAAGGAGGGGTTCGCAGCAATAGTAAAACCAGAACCCTTACGTAAAAGTCCAAATTGCCGTAAAAACAAATCACTCGTCATAGGTATAATGGAACAAAACACAGGGAAAAGACTTCGTTACGAAAGTCTTGCCTACTGTTAATTCAGACCTGCTGCATCTATCTCAGGGCTTCCTAATTGATTCCTAATATGAAACGAACCTTGTGAAGTATAACTTTGCAAAGAAGAATCGAATTGTAATACCAAAAGCATGGGATAGAGGACTATTGTCTGCTGTCTCTATTTGGTAAACTTTTGCCAGGTTTTTCAGGTGAAAACCGTGATGATTGAGATCTTAACAGCATCTAACGTAAAATCACCTACAATTGGGACTGTCTGAGTGCCCTGGTAGGAATAAGAATAGGAGTAAGAACTAAGAACAAACTGTGTTCGGGTCCCATGGCGGGCAGGTTAGGAGACCTGAGCCAAGGAGGGATCCGCAGTTGTACTATAGCAACCAGAACCCTTGTGAAAAGTCCAAACTACCTAGAAAAGATCAAAGGCTACATAGAGGACCAACAGACAGGGGAAAGGTTTAGTTAAGGTGGTCTTGCTTAAACTTTAAACAGTAAAGAACTGCTGCATCATTTAATCCGAGGTGATAGTTGCCTAATTAAGCCTAAATGTACTTGAGTGTTGGATCCAAATTTTTTCGTTCTGTTAACGGATTCATTATCCATCATGCAACTGATATACCGTTTCCCTATACGTATGTCTGCATAGGTAGAAATTAGTTTAACACTTCTCTAAGTCGTACCTAATTCTAATTAGGTCTATTCTAATTCTGTTAAATTTCGAACTGCCATCAATAATCTTAAAAATCACATCTCGTGGAACAAGAGACAGTCGAAGGAATACAGCCCTGCTCCATCAAGTCCGATCAGAGCTGAAGGTCTGATAACCGACCATGCTGTCGAAGTTAAATGTACATTCCGTAGAACGTTTGCTCATCACATGGCATATCAAAACGATCCAAATTTATTTGACATCTCATTTCAAGACATTTCCAATTGTTTTCGTTTTGTAAAAGGATTTATTAACCTTAACATCAAAGAATTCACGCTAATGGATGATAACTTGCTACAAACATGGAGCATCAAGGTGAAATAAAAATGCAGGACTTAATAGGCCCATTGTGATGTATGCGGTGGGACATGCTTTATTACGTCTCACACTGACTTACCTAATTTTACGATACTATAAACGTTGGTTTTCACCTAGGACCTACCTTGTGTTCCCCTGGATTTTCTCCGTTTCGATTATGTTTAATATAATAGTGGATTCTGGTACCAAATTAATTTCAGCCTAAACCAGGGGATTTGGTAAACTAATTAACTATAAATCTATTTACTCAACGGCTAATTAATTTTAGGCCATTGTTTCCTTTACGTGAATTTAATTAATGTAACTGTAATTACGTCGGCCTATCAGCCTGCTACGAGTTTATATATTTTTTCGAGTTGTTTAAAGCTTGACTTTATGTATCGTTTGTCGTGTTTAATTTTTGAATTTTCTTAAAGCTTTTACTTTTATAATTTTTTCCGGTTTGTGCGACGATAGAAGAAGCTCATTGTTTAAAGGACCCCGGTCGATAGTTTGTTTCCTTGGCGGGATGATCGAACAAAAGAGGAGCCGAGAAAGAAAAATGCTTCGGTAGCCGTTGTTGGAAGAAGTTAGGCGCCTTACCATCGCGGTGACGAAGAAGGCTTTTGAATTAACCGTGACCTTTCCATGGCAAAGCGTGAAGAATTACATTAAAGGTTGATAGGATGGTCCGGCGTTTGAGCGGGTATCGAAGTCGCTCTCCGCTGTACTAATTTAAATTTAAATCCATAATTAAAGATAAATGGAGTTTTCCCTTGTTTTCTTTCCGCTTTGAAAAAAATCCTGTTTCAGAAGGGCGTCTTTTTCTGTGCCGGTTTCAAGCTACGGATAAGCTCGAGGGGCCGAGAGTCGGGTTTAAAGCGCCATTAACATTTTACGATTGAATTAATATTTCTTAATACGTTTTGGAAATGTCGGCGCTTTGGGAGTGACGTTTTATCTGTTTTGTTCAAGGTGACAATCTGCCGTTTTCTGGGTCGGAAGAGGAAGACGAGGAAGAAACGAGTTCCGTAGGGCTTTTAAAGCAACACCACATCCACGGAGGGACGACGCTGCATCCTCCGGAGAACAACAACAATTCCAGCCAACTGCCACCGGGCCAGGACAGCAAGGGCCAGGAAGACTCAGAGGACCAAGGTGAGAAGGGTATTCTCAGGCGAAGGAGCACCGTGCTTAAAAATTCCGATTTACAGGTTCGTTGGACGGAGACCCAGAAACGAGGGACTCCCAGACGGAAAACAAATCTCCCGAAGACGGCAACTCGGGCTCGAAACGACGGGGGCCCAGGACGACGATAAAAGCCAAGCAACTGGAAATCCTCAAAACCGCCTTCTCACAAACGCCCAAACCTACAAGACATATTAGGGAACAACTGGCCAAAGAAACGGGACTACCTATGAGGGTAATCCAGGTAAGACCTATCTCTGGTTTTTTTTATACAACGTTTGGAAAGAGTCCCTCTGTCGGTTTCTTCCCACATAATGATTGGTGATTAATAAAATACGAACCGCTCTATAGAACAATTTGTTTATTTAGACGTTTTGGTAGAAACATCCTCTGTCTTGGCATAATGTCTTCATTTTCTTCGACATCACTGGATCCCCCATCGGTCTTGACTAATTTTATAAATCGAATAATATTACATCTGCGCCATATTGTCAAAACACTAGTACTATATAGTGTATTGCTGAAGAATTATTCAAAGACACCAATGAGACTAGAAATAAGCTTTGATTTTTTTAAAAATAGGTTTGCGTGTTTTGAGACAAGTCTCTATGCCGTAACCTTAAAGAAACTTTTCATGCTCAGTCACTATATCACTTTCCATTTCAGTTTAACAAGGTGTTGATGTCTATATTAAGCCAACCTACAAACCCAAAGTGTTGCAGGGAAGTTATTGACGTGGTATGTAGAAGAGATTTTAAATTTCACAAAAACAGCCGATTTTTTGAACATTTAGACGTTTTGTAAAAATTAAATTTGAAATAATCACAAAAATGCCCTTGATGACATCTTGGAAATAGGCCTCTATATCATGAAACAAATCGATGAACTGTAAAACGGAGTTGGCGTTAGGCCCAAAATAAACAGTGAAAATGGCCTGTCACCGGTGTTTAAAGAGTCGATTTCTACTGTTTGATAAATTACTGCCGAGTGAAAAATTTATTTATCACCAGGCAATACATTTTTGCTTTATTAGTAATTGATGTTAAGCGTTCAAGGTTATATATTTTCATTATAACCAGTGGATTAAAATTGTCCTTTTTAACCAAGTTTGTTGACAGTGCGTTGCCACGCTTTTAACCCTGGCCAGAGACACCTTGAAACTCTGACCGACTAATCAGTTAGGAAATGTGAAATCGTCGCTCATCTCGGCCTGTTTATACTCCTGGAGGTGGTTTTTTTTTTGTCGGTCTCTCACCCTGCTCTTATCCCTGACCATAAAATCACTGATAGACTTTACCAGCATAGTCGAAACAGAACGAACGGAAACGACCAACATGTATGCTATAAAATATCATCATCCAAAGGTGTGGTCGGGTTGTTTTATCGGTGCCTCAGCCTACTTAAAACCCTGGCCCTAAACTTCTTAAATTGATAGATTATAACAGCGAGTAAGGCGAAACAGGATAAACGATAACGACCAACCTATTCGTATAGGATAGTTGCAATATTCATTACCTAAAATTTTTGGTGCCTCACCCTGCTTATAACCCTGACCAGAAATATGTCATATCACACCAGTGTGTATAGGCGAAACTGGGCAAACGGAAACGACCAAACCATACGATAAAAGTTACGATTACCGAAATACTCGTATGTGGTGGGTTTTATGCCGGTGTTTCACCCTGCTTATAACCCTGGCCAGAAATTCCTTAAATCACGGGTGGACCGTACCAGCGTGTATAGACGAAGAAGAGGAATGGAAATGACCAAACATTGTGACAAAAAAAATCATTATCTTTTTTTTCGTTGCCTCGCTCTTTTTAAAGTCCAGATCAGAGACATATTAAATCGCAGATAGACCTTACTAACGAGTATAAACGAAACAGGAAAAGACCGAACTATGTGATAGAAATTATCGTTACCAAAATACTCCCTGGCAATGGGCTTTTAGTCGCCTCATCCTACTTATAAGCCTGACATTTTTCAACCTCTGGTCCTCTCTTTCTACCCGCTAATTTCGTTTCCAAGTAGATTTCCATAAACCGTTGTTATCAATCACACGGCAGACTTCAAGAAGACATCTATCAAAAGCTCTTTTTGTTAAAGACCTGTTCACCGCCCATTACATTAAGATTTTACAAATTGTTGGCAGGTATGTCGTCCTCTCAGGTATAATTTGAAGACTTTTTTTAATGGTGCAGATATTGATCACGTCAAACAAGCGATATTGAATTTAGGAGAAATTGGTTTCACGGAGGGACCCTCGTCGTCGGGGAATGGGGCCATACACAAGAAAGGGTTTGAGGAGAAACTCGGAGACCTGGTTGGAAGGATGATAGATGCCATTTCCTCATCCTATTAACGCCTGATGAAAACAGGGGGGGAGGACAATTGTAAACCTTATTAACTCTACGTTTTACGCAGGGCCGGAGGCGTATTTAGCCAAGGAAATACGAATTACTGCCTCCTTCAGGCGCGAAACGACGTCCCCTTTTCTTTGTTTATACGTGGATGCCTGAGATTGGAAAAATAACACAAAAAATTCACATTAAATCCAACGCTATATTTCAACATGAGGTTCAGTTCATTTTATTTAATTTTTAAATATTTTCATTTCAATTATTTTCTTTTATGCTATCTTACCAAGATTTGATCCGATATAGCGGTGGGATGCTTTAGCAGGTTGATCAGGTCAAACCACAATAAAAAGACTTTCAATGTCTTATTGATTTTATTTCCGACCGGTTTCGACCCACTGGGTCATTCTCAAGGTCAGGATTTCATTATTTAAATCCATAAAATATAGCTCGGGCCGTAAAAGGTTGGATGGATAGTTTGACAGTCGTCGTCAGCCATTTTTTTAATCCAAACGGGAAAAAATGCCTCCTAGATTTGAATTCCTGGTCAGTAGCAAAATGTTACCTTCTAAGTTGTTTCCAATTATTCTAGATCGTAATGCTGCCTTGATTTAAAACACATTCTAACCACCAAACCACCAGGTTTTTTTTATCACACTATGAAACAGGTCACTAATTAATAAAATATAACTTTCATATGGTTTTTCGTTGGTGTCGTTTTGATCGAAAATGCTATCTAGATGTCACAACACATTCTAGCCGGCACATCCTCCAATAAAAACATGTCGATAGGCAGTAAAAATTGATGTCACTGATAAAAAGCCATTTTTCGCATTTGTTTTGTCGAGTAACAGTTTACTTGGAGTGTACATTTTAGGGAAATATTTTGCATCTCTGATGCAAGTAGTTTTTCACCGGTGCCTCCTAGATCGGAAATGGCGTCTAGAACTCACGACACATTCTTGTCGCCAAATCTAGATTAGCATTTTATATAACTACTATGCTACTGGGCTGAAATATTTGTCAAATTTTTAGGTCGAAAGTAAAGGTGCGACTTGAATTATGACTGTCATTCCATGAATCAACCATTAATAGCCGGTTTTGACAGTTTTAAACTGCGGCATTTTTAGATATCCCCTCGAATTGGTTGTGTCAAGAGAATTTTGTTAATGAAAGAATTGCTAAAATTTACTTAACAGATCATAAATTAATGCTATATAACCTTCCTAATTGTTTTTTGCCGGTACCTTCTAGATCGGACATGCCGTCTAGATCTCACGACACATTCTAGTCGGCACATCCTCTTCATACAAAAAATTCGATAGACGGTAAAAATGAATAGGCCACTATCGTGAAAAGACATTTTTACTGATTTTTAGTAAATTGTGGCTTGAGTATGGTATAGTAATTAAATATTTATAAATTATTTAGAATTTCGATATGTCTTGTGTGTACTTAACCGACAACCTTGAATTCACGCATTTTAAATTATATTTTTGCGGATTTTTCGCCTAAAAATGGGTCAGATTTGCAAAAAATGTCCTCTAGCCCGTTTTGTTCATATCCTTCAATGTTAACAGTGCTAAATATAAAATTGCGGATGATTTAAATCCCACTATCAAAAATGTTTCTGCCAAAACTATTTGGAGCCGAACTAATTGAAGGAGTCCAAAACTGAAGCTTTGGCCAAGTGAGTCGTTCGAGCCCACGCATAGAAGCCATTTCATGTATTTTGAGGGTCATTTTTTTACAATTTAAATAAATAAATTCACCCCTTTGTTTTTGTGCTTTAAACCGTCGTTTTTCCAAACATTTTGTCCGCTTGGACGCCTGCTCGGCGGTGAATCGGTTCGGAAAAATATTTACATAAAAAAATGAAATGAAACCTAATTGCATTTGTACTCGGAGCGCAACTTCGCCCGCGGGAACGCGCAAATTAAACGAGGAAAATACCACGGCAACAAGGATCGATCCCTTTTTCCGCCAAAAAAATAAGGGCTAAAATTGCAGCAATTCAGCGTCAAAGGCTGTCAAAAACAAGGACGGCCGAAGAGCAAAAGTGTTAATTTAACCGAGTGTTTTTAAACTCACCATCACATGTGATTTGCCTTGACAACAGCACCCTTTACCAGACGCAGAGCGATGTTTCTATTTTCATATACGCCCGTTTCCGGGGATTTGTAATTTTGAAAACTTGAATATAATGCCACCCTAGGATAGAACAATTGAAATCTACCATATTTCAAATCACTGGCGAGATTCCAGCGTCTCGAGGTAGGATGGATCGGTGAGGCACATGAGAAAGTACAACAACATAAAAATATAATCATTTTTAGGATTTCAAATTACAAAAATGTCTACTATTAAACTCTAATAATTACAACATAAGGATTTTCTGTTATTTCGTTTTTTATTGCAATCGGCGAAGCGTTGTCACGCGGACCCCACCCAACGTTGCACGATTCCCGTTCGACTCGAAAAACCCTGCTCGGAATTTCACTTACTTTCGACCCATTCGTAAATCACAAATGGCCCGACTTTCAAAACTATGGAACTTTTTTTCTCCATGAGGCCATCGACAGTTGGACGGATCAGACAAATCGAATTTTCTTTTAAAAATAAATTTAAGGCTAAGTAAAATGCCTTTTTTATAGTTACGACGCTTTTTCATACCTTAAAAGACATTTTATAAACTATCATAAACTTGGGTCGCTATTTTGGTTCGAATTATGGAAAGCAATCTATTTGCACAATGACAAAATTTTATTTAGAAAAACAAACAGTTTAAATTTTGTATAAAATCGAAACTATACATTAAGACAATTAAAATACACAATACTCAAAAATTATAAATTAGAATGCATAATTTCATAAATAAAACAATCCT